GCCACTTTGCGTTTCTCTAAACAGCCCTGACAATGTCAGAATTGTCAGCAAAAATAAAATCGAGGTACCACATGGGGTAAAACTTAAAAAAGTAGTTAGTGTGAAATTATATTTTAATAATTTTTACTGAAATTATCAAATATAATTTTCACGGATAAATCAGTAATCCACTGAAAAGCATAAAATAAAAGATGATTTATGTTTTCTTTCAGCCAAACATAATATTCATTTATTGTCTAAACATTAATATCTTAAGGAATAAAGACAACAACGACTAAATAGGAGTGACCAATACTGGACAACGCGTTTATTAAACGCACATTAACTCAAACGGACTTATAAAAATGTAACCACGAAGAATGACCATGCACTTATACATTAAGATCAGCAAAATCACAAGTATTGCTGATTGCAATAATAGTTCATGAAACCACTACACACGTACTGCACTATCACGCGTTAATACTTTCACACTTGAAACAACATTGTTTGAGTATTGTTGATCTAAAGCAGACAAAGATATTGTTATACATGTATACAATCAGCAAATATCAAAATGATTCATTATTTATAAAAGCTAACCAACAGTTCGAAACAGAGAAGAGATTTATTTAAAAACCCTTCGTCAAATGTAGAAGGTAACAAATTAATTGGTGGCAAGTGTGTGGGGAAATGACTGCATAATTTAATTTACATTCCTCGGATGAATATCAATTTAGCGGAGAAGTATGACGCGGTTCAGATCTGTTCCCTGTTGAAGGGAGAAAGCGTATAACTGGCCGGATAGCTCAGTCGGTAGAGCCACTGAACGATATTCCGACGGTCCCCTGTTCAAATCCTAGTCAAGCTGCACATTTTTCTCACCCTATGGCAATAACATTGTAGCAATTTCCAAAATGCCGATACATATGACAAATAAACATTCTTGATTTCATCTTGCATAGCAATGATTACGTATTACAAGTGTTGATATAAATGTTTATTGTAGCTGTATATGTTCCATCTGGTTACTTGGGTTGTTATCGGGACACACGGTATAGTTTGGCAGAAGCCTTACGATATAGATTGTACACCTTAAACTCAAATACTGGAGACACATGTAAAAGAAGCTGCTCATTACAGCACTTCGTGTTTGCCAGAACAAAGGTGAAAATACTATATTTCTCTCATATGCGCCTTTTATATTCTCAAATACTATGAATTTCATATACAAAGACGGATTATTAGCGTAATTTAATTTTTTTCAATTTTACCATAAATTATATCAAGTATTTGTTTCTGAGGTAGAGCTATATAGCGATCATTAATGTATTTCTATACAAAATTATTCATCATAATGTATTGAATTCAAGTGAATATTTAATTGGGCTTTTTAACTTATATTTTGGAAGGAAGCAAGTTGTTTCTGTGGTAATGGTGTTGGTGCATGGCGTATATACGGGTGTTTTTCACCATGTCCAGGTAGAGCTGATGAAAGATGTGGTGGACTCTATGGCATGTCTGTATACTCAACTAGAGGTAAGTCATTCAGCAAGATCAGATTTGTTCAATAAAGTTGTTTGTTAACAAAAGTTTATATTAATATCTCTTGTTCAATAAATCATTTCAAATGTGTCGTGTGCAGTGTAAATAATTCGTTGCAGTACTCTTATATTCTTCGAGTTTTAGGAATTCAAATACTTTACTTTCTGGATGTTGAATACTGCCAAGTCGATGCATAGTAACTTAATACGAGGTTGTTAAAATACGAATTAAATGATTAAATTCATATTGTCGTAAAATCAATGTTATGCTGTTCATATAACGTTTTTTATTAACTTGACGATGATATATATCAGACTGATAATCCAGCTTATTTTGTGTCAAATGCATAAATTTGCTTTTATTTGTTCAATATTTAATTCAAGCTCATTTTCATGTCTTCATGAAATAATTTGAAAGTATGAAATCGCTTCATTCCTCTGTCAATAATTATATATCTTGATTCTTTACCAGAAGAATTTTCATCAACCAGAACAATTGTATCTGAGGTAATCCCTGATACAACATCACACAGGCTAACAACAGAACTTAGTACTTATCTTTTCACACAGACATTTCCTACAGATTTTACAGGTAAAATGACGCATTTGGTATTCTTACATATTTTTAGATCGGGGTCTTAACGATAGTTGTTTCTGAAAATGTTATAAGAAACAATATGTATTAAATTCCGTCATTTTTATTATTTTAAATTGTTAATCACATTACTATTATAAATTGTTTGACTTCAGGTAAAACGCATACGCCAGAGGATGCTGTTTACATTGCAGTTCCTATAGCTTGTGTTTGTTTTATAATTTGTGCTGTTGCAGTTTTTGTGTTTTTCTGGTAAGAAACATATTTTATTTTATTAAATAGTTTTGGCGCAAAAATTCCAATTTTGTTACAGTTAAAGATTTAGATTCACACCGACGCTATGAGGTAATGATTTTGGTATTATATTAGGTAAGAAAAACTGTATTTTTAAATACTCAAAAACTATCTTTAAAGAAAAAATGTTTCAGGCGACAACGTAGGCAGAAACGAACAGGACAAAGACGTTCAGTTACAGTTGTGGCTTCAACGAACGTTATTTACAATGAACAAACATATTCAAATGATGTTGATCCGTTCTCTGCAAATGGAAATGTGACGCTTAACAATAATGGCGGCACAGAATTTTCTTCAACCAATGTGTATTCAGTGTGCAAGAATGAAGAAAACCATGACGTTATCAATGCGGAAAATGGATCTACGTGTCTACCGAATGAGCATGTTTATGGGCATATCAAACATCAAAACATGCATTTTTCCGATCAGACATACTCGCAATTGTCGAACAATAGAGAAAGATTGACCCAAGCTAACCAATATTCTCATATAAAAACACCACAAATTATTGAATATACACCAGATAAAGATTTAACATACAACCATTTACAGGTATTCACAAATAATGGTGTAGTCAGAGATATTGACGATGATTTGTCATACGATATTTCTCATGCAGGCGGACATGATGTGGAAAAGGAACAATCAGGGGAGTATTCAAACTTAAGATATTAATTAAAACGTCATTTTTAAATATTGGTTTTAATATAATGAAGGATTTCAAATCGAAATTATAGAATTGTCAGTGTCTTGAAAGCAAGAAGCTACTGGTTAAATTTGAACATATTTGTTGAAGCTCGACATTTGAGGACAAGTTCTTTAGGCGTATATTAATCACTTTCGAGTACGTCTCCTGGAACTAACGTGTATTGCTGTCATGCGAGGAAACACGTGTTCATGAATATGAATAGAACCTACGATCCCTTGGTTGACAGGCTGGCAGGCACTTTTACATATAATTTGCAGACCTTACTTAGCGATATAGTAATCAGAAAATCAGAAAGAATATTAGATTTTTCAAATACGTTCATTCATTTTTGTTTTTGTTTGCCATTGTATGTCTTTCATCATATAATATACTATCTCTTTTTATACAGTGTGTTGCTCTATGATCGGAATTCATAGAATTAAACTTATTAACATATGAGAATGTTTTCAATATATTTGCCATGCTATATAATATAAGTATACTGCACTTTTGTAACGGCGTTGTTCGCCGGATAATCGTGACAGTTGTATAATCATTATACATGGCTGCATTTAAGGTATAAAGTTATTTTGGTTTGGGCCAAATAAAGTAATTGTTCTAAATTGTAACTTTATTTTAAGGATGTTGGCATGTTATAAAGCCGGGCATAAACGGCATAACATTACAAACTTTAAACTAAGCAGTACAATAAACATCTTTAGAACTAATATTCTAACATTCGTCGTGATTTTGTCACTTTACATAAAAAAGAAAGTGCCGGGGTTATTACTGCAAATAAACACTGGTTAGGGACAAAATGAATAATGAATACGCGGCTGTTATCTTTTCTTCCTCGATAAGACAATTTACAAAGCATTTCAATAGAGCTGTAATAACGCAATTTTATTGATATGTTCCCGTTCTTATTATTTTTCTTTTTAATATGACGCATAAATAACATCTCACATACACTAACGAATGTTAAATAAGTTGTGATAAAGGTAGCAAAGTGTGAACAAATTTATGCATTTGTGCATTTTGATTTCCATTCAAAATACTTAATCACTGTAAGTGTACTAAATGATAAAACGCAAAAGAAGTAAAAGAAGACTCAGGTTTATGGCCAATAAATAACTTCCTAGAAGCTGTAACAAATCAAAAAATATATAAAGCTTTGTAAAAATAAAAAGAGAATCTTCTAGGCCTGGATGCCTTTAATATAAGTTGCGGTTCGTATGTTTATATCCTATGATAATTTTAGAGATCTAGGAAGGTCAAAGGAAAGTCAAGTATTTCTATTTAATTTTATATGTTTGGTGTGTCGGAGACAGATGTTATATGCCAATTTTATGATGATATTGACATGTTAATATACTTAACCATTGAAGAAACAAAATAATTCAGATGTTTCCGTTTCACAATTTATGATTGCACTTCCATTTTAATGAGGAAGAAAACATTGATAAAATTTAACCTAATAAAAAACTAAAGTACACAAACAAGGCAGATTTATGTCCATTTTTATATTTGAATTCACTTCACAATTGGATCAAGTCCTTTTGTATGTTGACACATAAATATATCAGTCTGTCCAATACGCACTCTTACTTCTATATAAAACAATCAATATAGTCATTTTAGTTCGTGCCAACCCAATTATGTTTACAGGATTGACTTTGAATTTAATATATCAAAATTATAAGTCTTTCATTTCTTTAATTCACACGTACTATACTTTAAGCTATGTATCGACATACTTATTACTTGTCTCTTTATCAATATTTAATTTGATGACTATGTCATCGTTCTACTTTCTCCAATATGAAATATTCGTGGTTACTAGCACTGTCATCGATATCTTGAAAACTGTTTTCCTCTGAATTTAAGTAAATTCTCGAAGAAAT